TCACATGAAATTAAATAACGGAGTTTTACAAAAATTGCAACTGTTGAAGATATAAAATATTTGAGAAAAGCAATCGATGAGAAAATTTTTTAAGAACTGTTATAGATAATTTATTAGCGTTCTTAGATCGGGTTAAAAGATTTTCTAGCTTCTTTTAATTGAAGTTGACAAATTTGATATATTAAATAAATATCAAAGAAGATCAAAAAAAGAAAGCCTGAGGATGAACTTGATTTTGAATTCAAACAAATAACTTTTTTAAACAATTAGAAATCAATTGTTTTTTTTAAATTCGAGTTTACTCTTGAAGAAGGAATCTCAATTTTTTCTCTACTTCTAAATAATTTATATTAATGTAGAAATTGTTTGAGATTTACATTCTGAAAATATTTACAAGAACAGATTGTTCTACAAAACTTCTATTTGAGAGTTCGTTAAATTAGTTTATTAGTTTATTTTGTTAATTTTTAAATATTTGTCTTCTTCAACCGACAAGCCAAACGTCAAGTAATTGTTTAAAATAAAAGTTGTAAGTTCCTTATTATTTTTATCAATTAGCCAAAATCAATATCAGTTTAATTTATTTAAAATACTTTATAAAAAAAAAAAATCTTTAATTCCAAATCAGATTTTTACGGATTCAGATTGATAAACTTTTAAAGAAAAAATTAAAAAAAACCCGGAGATATAATCTAATTGAAAAAGATATAAAAATAGATTAACTGCAATAATATGCATGTAACTTTAAAAATGGATTTTGTATATGAAACAAAGGAATCTATTCTTAGCGAACTATTCAACAAAAAAACCTTAAAATAAAAACACAAAAAGAATAGAAAATTTGTAAAATACAAAGAACTTTACGAAAATTACAAAAAACTTTATTTAAAAGAGAAGAAACAAAATGAAGAATATGTCTCTCTCTTGAATGATGTTCGTGACTATTTCAGAAAATCCTGGTATATTTTTCTTAATGATTGTGAAGAAGCAAAACAATTCAACGATTATTCAAGGTATCTTGTGGACGATATCTTAAAAGAAGATCAAGTCGATAATGAAATAAAAGAAGTTATTGACTTGACAAATGAAGAAGGTGTTATCGACAAAGTTGGTGAGAAAGGAGAAGAGATTTTGATTACTATTTTAAGCTCGATAAGAATAATATGGTTTTACTCAACGATTGTTTTATGCAGTATTTTGAACACAATCATACTATTGATAATGATTTATTATCAGCGTAATCTATCGGCATATTTATTTTTGGAAATTTTATTATCAGTTGTATTGTATTTATATTGAATAAGGTAAATGTCGCAGATTTTGACTATAAAAAATATCTAAAGTTCCTCTTGCTCTCTACGATTTATTCATTTTGATTTTTATATATTTTTTAAAAAATCTTTTCAAATCTTTTACTGAATCCGAGAAACACAAACAACAAACTAAAGAAATTCGAAAATACAATTTCGTTTTATCGAAATTGCTTATTACTTTTATTCGTTTTATTTATTGAGGTCGAAGTTGCAAAAGAGTTATTTAACAAGAATATCGATTTAATAATCGATTTTCTTAATCAGCATCGATTGTAAGTTCTAATTTCTTTTGCGAATTTGATGTATTAAATGAACAATTATATTTACATTTTTTATTTTATTATTTAGATAATAATTTATTTACAGCAAGAAAAAACTAATAAGCTAAATATTTTCTGTTATATTCTTCAAGGTCTGTCCAACTCCACAAATATTTAACATTATATTTTTTAATATAATCATTAACTTCTAACAAATATTTATCAATTATTTCAACATTTCTTTCATTTACATCTTTTAATAAATCCAGTGTATCATTAATATAATGAAAATAGTATCTATCATTCCATCCGTAAAATGTTGACCTTGTGTGAAATTCTATCCACAACAAAATGTTGTTTAGTCTTTTGTGTTTAGTGTCGTGGTAAATTTTTAGCGATGGATTAATTAAATTTTGTTCAACAAGATAGTTTTTGAAGTCTTCATATCTTGTAAATATAATGTATTCTGTAGTTTTAATTTCTTCAATAAATTGTTCTTCAAATTTAATCATTGGTATGGGAGCTTGAAAAAAGTCTTCATTATCGTCGGTTAACTTTGATGAATAATTTTTCCATTCTATATCTTGAAAACAATCTTCCCAATCATCTTCAATTTTTTTTTGTTTCTTCAATGTTTTGATTTTTTTAACAATGTTTTTAATAAAAGTCATTTTGAAAATTTTAAATTTTATTTTAACGAATTTGTAAATTTTTTAACTCTTTATATAGATAAAAACTATAAAAGAGCAAAACTTGTTTTTAAATTTTGTCATTTGACTAAAATATTGAATATTAAAAGTTAAAGGATTTTAACTCACTTTCAGAAAAAAAAAATAAAAAATAAAAAAACATGTTTAAAAAGTTGTTAATTTGTTCTTATTAAAAAAAAACTATAAATAAACAAGTTTCGTCATTCAAACATAACATGACCAAAACAGAATTTTCAAATTTTCTTTAAAGTGAACCAATCAAACTTTCTTTAATTTCCAAATCAGATTTTTTACGGATTTGGTAATTATTAGTTATGGAATTTTTAATTACCAATGATAAGCCTTTAAAGGAAATATGAAATATAAAAACCAATCAAGTTTTTTTAAAAAAATATAAAGGTGTTAAAAAAAAAAAAGTTATCGTCCTTAAAAAAACTTTAAACAAAATGCCTAAAGATACCCAAAAATATGAATTTATCTCTGAAAAAGTTACTACATATCCTTATCCCAAACCCAAAGAACAATTTGTTAGCAAAGATATTTATAAAGAAGAAAAACATCTTTGTAAAAAACTTGAAAGAAGGATTAAAGAGATTAATGAAGCATCTCTTCAAAATATCAGTAGATTACAAGAAGTCATCGAAGAGAAGAATAATTTCATTGACAAATTACTTGATGAATTCAGATAGCTTGAAGCGTATTTTGGTCCAAGCTTCCAATGTGCCAAATGGGTTTATCAGAATCAAGTATTTGTTCCTATCTATCAAGAGGAAGTTGATAAAAACCTATATACTGAACAGGTTTATTCAAACGAGGATCTTTATATAGATCCTAAGGTTCCAGTAGACAATACTGAGAACCTTGATAATCAGGAAGTTAATAATATTGAGAACCTTGATAACCAAGAGGTTCCAAATTATGTTGAGAGTCTTGATTCAGAGAAAGATGAATTAGATCATTTTAAAATTCCTGCTGAGATTCCAGAGGATGAATATGATTTCTTAAATTTTTCTGACTGAATAATTTTATTTCCTAAATAGTATTTTCCTAAATAGTATTTTCCTAAAACAACTTGTGTATAAATAATTTTAAATAAATAAAAAAATTATAAAAAGAATAAATGTTGCCTTTGTCACCCTTGTGATTTTTTAAAAAAAAAAATCAAATGAATCGCAATCAAAGATTTTTACATATTATGTCTACTATTTTCTACTGTGTTCCTTGTTTGACTCGTTTCAAGTGCAAGAAAAACTTGTCTGATAAGGATAAACAGCAACAAGAAGAGGAATATTCAAATACTGGGAAGGTTCCTCAATGTGATAAATGTCAGAAATTGCATTGGCGTTGCAAAGATAAAAAATGTACTCAATGTTGTAAACTGAATGAATGCAACGAAATTGAATGTTCTTATTGTAAAGAATCTAAAATCAAATGCCAACGCATCTTACCAAAAACTAAAGAAGAATTTGATGTATTAGAAAAACTCGGACTGACATACGTCTCAGGTCAATACGAAGCAACCGATTCAGGAAAATTACATGAACAGGCCTATTTTCAATTTGATAAACGCCAAACAGTATCTAGCGTAAAAAAAATATTCAATCATAACGCGATGAATTTTCCAAGATACTTAAATGGCGATTCTGATAAGAATCGTGATTACAGTCAAAAACAATGGAACAGGTGTAAGGATTCGAAACATCGAAAAAAATGCCGTTGCGATTTTCAGGAGAAGGAAAAAATTTGTAATGTATGCAATAAAGACTGTATAGACAAATGTACTTTAGCTCGTTGGAAAGCTTTAGAATTATCAAGTGCTGATAATGGTTTTTGGGCGTTTGGAAATTATCATTATTTAGGAGCTTCTACTGAATTAAAAGGTGACGATACATTAAACGAGATGAGAGTAGAGGATATGAAGAGAATTGATTACATTGTCGAAAATAATCTTACAATAGATGATATTTTAAAAAACAAAAAGGATTTGCTCCCGCGTAGTTGGCTTAGGAGTTTAAAAGATTTGGAACATTTGATCAAAAAAGAGAAAGAGATTAGAGAAGTAAATTTAAA